TGTGGCAGAAACCTGCCCAAATATTCCAAATGAATGTCAGAGTGTGTATGAGTCCAGGGAAAACTGAAACTGAAAATACTCACCAGACCACCCAGTTACACAGTAAGTGATTTGTTTCTCAGCATCAATTGACAGTTTTTGTGGAGGGAGAAAAAATTTCCATCAACAAATCCGACACAGTTTTGGAAACCAGTGAAGCTAGATATTTGTGACACAATTGAATGGCACCCTTGGTTATTTGGCCATTGTACATATTTGCTATTCATCAGGAACAAGTAATACACTAACATCAGTTTACAACACAATGAGAAGAGGGGCTTACCTCTCTAACAAAAGGATGGCTTCAATAACTCGGCCACATTAGAGGATGACTGCCCCCTCGTAAATTCAAAAAAAGAAAGCTAACACCCCAACGGAGGCGCTGTTACCATACGTTCCCATCCGCTTCAGGGTCATAAGTTGTTCTTGAACTGGTTTTTGTGGGATGTGTTGAAATTCTGATACTATTTTTTACTCATCCCAAAAATCACTTTTCATTCTTGATTTCATTACCTGATTTTCTCTTTCATTATAGTCTGTTTTTTAGCCTAGTTATGTATGTCTGACCCCCTTCTTGTAGTCAAAGAACCCTGAAGAAAAAGGGCTTATCAGCTCTCTAGCTAAAACTTATCTTCTTGTCTGTGAACTCTCTTGTTGATGCATATTATATTGAATTGATTTCTTTTTCTTTCTTATTCATTTTCTCAACCACATCTTGATCAATCTTGTACATAGTATATTTAAACTGACTAAGTTACAAGAAATGATCACCATTGGTTCTTCTTCATTCTGAACCTTGACATCCTCAGAGCCCCCCTTGAGTTTATCAATAAAAGACCGGTCACTCTCTTCTCACTCTCTGGCGGTCAAAAACTCTTCAGGATGTTTGACTGGTTATGGAACACAGGGTGGCCTTTGATTTCATTGAAAAGTCGAAAGAAGAATGGTTGCAACATTCTGAACTTTTGCTTGAATTGGGAGTCATTGAGGCTGAAGAGGTAGGCAGAGTTGTCTGGGTTGCGGTCAAGTCTTGTATGAGGGGTGTGGTATCGTTGTTTCTTGAGCAGGATGAGGGCCACTATGGCGTCTTCCAAGTTGCTGTCCTTGGTTGATTCATTGTTGCTGTCATTGAGAAGGTAGTTCAAGATTGCACCATCTACTTGGTGTTGAATTTGTTGGGTCATTTGAGCTATGGTTAGCCCTTGTTTGGTCTGGCAAGGCATGTTGAATTTGAAAGTGTGAGTGGGTTTGGCCGCTGTGAGAACTCCTTTGGGATGAATAGGCAGTCCTTGAGGGGAAATAACAATATGATATTTCACTAAGTAATATTTACTGTTACGGGTGGTTTGAAAGACCTGCCCCTCTATTTACTACACAAGAATTCTGACAATAATTTAATTTATTGTTGTGGTGTGACTTTATGATGGAGAAAACTTATATGTAGTAGTCTCTATCAGACCTAGATCAGTATGTAATTCAACACAAGATGGTTGTACACCCTTTACACGGTGAATGTGGGTGTGAAAACAATCCAAGTGGAATATTTTATAGGGTGTGATGGTTTTTACAGTGATTCTGGATAAGTAGTGAAACTGTTGGTTTCTGTTGTTGATGTTGATGTTGGAGTTGGAGTTGGTGTTACTGGTGTTGACTAGACCTTAATGTTGATGACCACTGAGCTTGCTGTCCGGGAGCTGGGCTGCTGAGTGAAGATGGTGATGACCATTGAGCTAGTTGGGTATGAACTGGCTGGGTGATCATGGGTGGAATATTTGGTGAAGGAGAGGCCTCCTTATATATTCTTTTCTGAGTTATTTTTGCTGGTGGTGATGCAGTTGAGGTGATTTTGCTGGTGGTGACCTTGTGGGTTGCACTGCCTCCTGCAAAGAGTACATGCATTGAGCTAATTATGCTGTGGAAATAACTAAATATGGTACTACTGTATGTAAGGATTGCATAAACTGGTTGCACTGCCTGTTGGAGGTTTTCTGTCCACATGCATTTATGGAAAGTCTGCATACATTCAATTGAGTTACTAAGTGGAGGCCTAATGGTTGCACGTATGCATGCAAGAATTGCCTAAATGATCTGCACTACTGGTGGAGGCCTGCTGATGTAATAATTTATGTGTATGTACTTATATATATGTGGTAAACTACTATTTAATACTAATTAATGACCAGTTATGGTATGGCTTTAACCTTTATGTTGGATTATCTTCTAAACTAATAGAGATAGAGGTATAGTTGTAGTGAGTGACTATGGGTAAAATTGTATGTAGATTCTGATTATGCAATAATATATTCATATATGTAAGTGGTTTAGGTTATAAGGTAAGGGTTTTGGCAGTTTTGTTGTGCACAACAGCCTGGACCACAACCCCCCGCTTGAGCTGGGCTGAGAGGCAGGGGGGA